TTCCACCACAATAGTGGAGGTAGGATATCTTTGTAAAGTAAGTTTTTTATGCAATGCATACTCTTTTTATGCATCAAAACAAATGATGCATAAAAATAATCTATGTATAATTAATGCAAGTATAACTAATACATGCATTAGTAATACACTCTATTTAGTATTATTCTTATATATTTTACCAAACACCAGATGTACAAAATCAAGAGGTCCAATAGGTAATAGATGTTATACTAAACACATACAGTAGAAAAACACCTGGAGAAAAATGAGCATCAGACTCACTAGGCTATTTGACCATCTTGGCTTCAAAGAGGATTAAAATAAAAATGTTTTGCAGCAATAGTAAATCAATGTACATACTGCATACATGATAAGGTGAGGGAGGCCCTTTGAATCTCTTCCTTCGTTCTTTTGAACTTGAAATCCAAGATCAATTATCTGCCCTTGGAGTTGCACCGGGGCATCTATCGTCAGGTCAAAATTGGTATGACTAGTAGTTGGTACCATGTTCATTCTACCTATCTTGTTAAATTGTGTACTAGTAGTGTTATCATACGAAGAGCCCAAGGAACTTCTTAAGATCCTTTGGGGCTTTAAGAGCAAAGTGCAAATAAGAGTGATTTTTATCGGAAAAAGGTGCAAATGGACAAATCAAATACAAATATATATGTGTAGTCTAAAATTAATAATAACCACAAGCATGTATAACAAATGTATGGACAACAAAATTGAGTCCGGAGCCTAAAGGGTATAAAATATTAATAAAAATTACAAAATGGTATATAAAATTTTATATTAACCAAAATGGCAAAATCGCTGGAATAGCAGTGATTTTCTCCGCCGGAAAAAGCAAAATCGCTGCTACAACAGCAATTTTGCAAAATGTGACGCTGCCTAGGCAGATTTTCTTGCAATTTTTTAAAAAAATTAAATCGCTGTCAAGGCAGCGATTTAAGAATTTTTTTTTAATAAAACGCTCCAATTGGAGCGATTTACTTTTTTTTTAAAAAAAAAAATTTAGTTAAATCGCTGCTCAAGCAGCGAATTCCTATATATTCTTAATTAAATTAAATCGCTGCACGTGTAGCGATTTTTCAAAAAAATTGCAAAAATTTTACTACAAAAAAATAAGCAGGATTATTTTTATGAGCGATTTTAAAAATAAAATTATGGAAATAGGTGCCATTTAATTAAATTTTTTTTTTTGAAATCGCTGCTAGTGCAGCGATATTATTAATTTTTTTTTGCAAAATCGCTGCAGCGATTTAATATATATATATATATATATATATATATATATATATATATGAAAAGCAGCGATTTAACTATTTTTTTTAAAAAAGGTAAATCGCTCCAACTGGAGCATTTTATTAAAAAAATTCTTAAAATCGCTACCTTGACAGCGATTTAATTTTTTAAAAAATAATTTTTTTTTGCAAAATAGCTGCCTAGGCAACAATTTTTTAAATTATTTTTTTTAAAAGAAAAATTCACATTTTGTTAAAGCGCTGCTGTAGCAGCCATTTTGCTTTTTCCGGCGGAAAAAACCACTGCTATTCCAGCGATTTTCCGTTTTGGTTAATATAAAATTTCATGTACATTTTTAAAATTTTTGTTAACATTTATATCCTTTAGGCTCCGGACTCCAACAAAATTGGACTTTTTTAATGATAAAGTGAAGGGAAAAGCGTCAAAAATATCCTCAATTTTGTTTTATTGGTTAGTTATGCCCTTACTATTAAAGTGAAGTTAATTTTGCCCTTGCCGTTAGTAATTTCACCATATATACCCCTCATTTGACGAAAAGCCCCAAATCATCTCAAATTAACCCGATTTCAATAAAAATTATCCGATTTTCTCTTTTCAATTCATACCCGACCCACTAAACCAAATGAGTCAATAGCAAATTAAAACCCAAACCCATCTCTATAATATTATTTCATCTCCATCATCTTCTTCATCTCTAATCCAAAATATCCAAAATTTAGATTACCTCAACACTTCAATTTTCAAGAACTAATGAATATGAATGAGAGAGGTCAGACAAGAAATCATTGACATTTCGTAGCTTTAATGCACCAATATCCTCAAGAGTCAAGAAGAACAAAAAACCCAACAAAAGCCTCGATCAAATAAGTCAAACCCTCCAAACAACTTTGATCTGTTATGGTATTATTAGACCAAACAATACTTTTTAGCCTTGAACCAACAATCTTAACCTCAGTACCACTAGTATACGAATCAAAACAACTCTTTACAGTCAATTTCTCCAATTTCGGACACATTGTATCTAAATTCTCCAATTAAAAATAATTTTGAAGATTTAAATTCGCGAGTACATGACAACTTAAATGTAAGTAAGTTAGCCCCGTACAATCATCAAGACTCAATTTCTTTAAGCAATGGGAAAGATGTCTCCTTGAATAAATCATGTAAGGAAGGTTGTTTGTACATAATAAGACACTACAGTGACAAAAAGAATAAATTTTTGAACCCATTTTTCATAAATGGTGAAGGAGGTAACCAGAATCCTGGATATTTTGACTTTAAATTAAAAAATCTTAAAGATTCACTATTTATAGCCCCAAATCAACTCAAATAGAGATGAAGAAGATGAAGGAATATTAGAGAGATGCGTTTGAGGTTTAATTTGGTAATGATTCATTTGGTTTAGTGGGTTGGGTTTGGATTGAAAAGAGAAAATTGGATAATTTTCGATAATTTCAATTGAAACGGGTTAATTAGAGTTGATTTGGGTCTTTCCGTCAAATGAGGGATATATATGGTGAAATTAGTAATGGTAGGGGCAAAATTAACTTCACTTTAACGGTAAGGGCATAATTAACCAATAAAACAAAGTTCAGGGATATTTTTGATCTTTTTCCCTAAAGTGAAATATCAATTGTTTAGTATAATGACTTCGGAATAACGCTCATTAAGAAAGAGAATTCCGTCTTAAAACCTTGATGATAACACTAAAACGTCCATAACGCTCAATGGTTCGCGCGTCAAAACTATTGATGATAACAATAGTTTTGCTAATAGGTCACGGTGGACTGGTATAATTAGGTAGTATCTTCATTCCACCTATCTTATTAAATTCATCACTAGCCATGCAACTCGATATGACTTGATATTAGGGGTGAACATGATCGAGTTGGTTCGAGTTTTTCAAATATCAAACCAAACTATTTGTGTAAGATTTTTAAATTTATAAACCAAGTCAAACTAATAAAATTCGGATATTTTCAGGTTTTTCAACCTCGGGTTGGTTCGAGTTTTTCAAATAACAAACCATAGTGTCGAATTTTTAAATTTAAAAATCAAACCAAACTAATAAACTTCGGATTTTTTTAGATTTTTGGATTTTTCGGTAAAATTTGCATACAAACATATAATTAACTTGTGCTCCAAATATTTCTTTAGTCCAACCAAAATACAATTATCTAATGTATTTCTTAAAAAAACACAAAATATGAGATGAGTATTAATGACATAAAAATATTCAATAATAAATAATAACGAAATCATCATATAAAATAAATATTGTAAAGTCATAGTAAAAATAATCATAATTTAAAAGTACTAAGTCACGCTAAAATAAGTTTAATAAGTTTTAGTCCCAAATATTTGAGGAAAACTAAAATTAGATTATGTATTTTATTTGTCTAAACCAATGTAAAACTAAAGAACAAATATTCAATATTATTGTCATCCTTAGTGTTGAACTGATTTTCTTTTTGCATTAGTGTTAATTTGATTTTGATTTAAGTTTTATTATAATTATCAACATCTATGAATCATAATCTTTATTGGACTATTCCGAATTCTAAGTTTTAAACTTGAAATAATATATTAAAAGATAAAAATTATGAATAGTATAAGCAATATTTTAAAATGATATCAAAATAAATATTTTTATGTATAAAATAAAATTTTAAAATTACATATATAATGTCGGATTGGTTTGGTTTGGGGTTGATTTTTTTTTAGTTGAAACCAAACCAATCCAAATATAGTCGGATTTTTTTTTTCCAATACGAAACCACTAATCATTTTTTTTATTTGACTCGATTTGCGATTTAATTCGATTTTCGATTCGATTTTATATCCCTACTTAATATTATCCTTATTCTACCTATCCAATCAATTGTTCACAAGTAATGTGGATTGCTATGATTTGGTACTATTGTCATACTATGTATCTTATTAAATTGTTCACAAGTCATGTTAGATTGTATAATTTGATAGCTGATATTTTCATTCTATCTATCTTGTTAAGTATGTATTTGGACATAAAAGGTGTGAAACTTAAAATAAAAAGAAAAAAATAGAGTAGCATTTAAAATTAAGTAGAAAAGGGATATTTAAAATTAAAAGTTTAAATTGTGAGCAAATGGACTTTACTTCAAGAAACTCATCTTCCATCTTTTTTAACAAATTAGTCCAATGTATAATCAAACAATGTCTTGAAAAAGGAAAATACTTCTATAAATCTTATTCTACACTCATCTCTAATTATAAATCATCTTATTCAAAAATAAATAAATTATTTCTATAGATATAATTCTGTATGGATTAAAGAAATGTATTAATTAAACAGAGACTACAGAAATACAAATGAGAGGGTAGGGGAGAAGATTTGCTAATTCAAGAACCACTTAAGGAAGTGAAGTTTCTTCTCATACTTTATTAGGGTAATTATGTTGAACAATTAGTAAAATGTACAACTGTCAGTTAGTGTTATTAGAGTTAGTTAAATTAACAATGATCAGCAGTAATAGTTAGTTCGAAGTTGTTAGTCAATTAGTTAGATATATTTTACTTCTATAAATATAAGAGTAATAGTCATAACAGAAGTGTGAGTTGTATAGAAACTTTCTGGAAGCTTCTACAGTTTAATGTGAAGCATCTTCTTCTTCTTCTTCATTTTTCTTCTTCTACATTGTTACTGTTCGTTATTTGATTACTCAATTCTCTTGAACTTTACATGGTATCAGAGCTAGGAGGACGATTTTAAGAGTTTTCAGTATCAAGTTTTGCTTAGATTCGCTTGATTATGGCAATCGAGGAGCAATCTGGAGGATCGGGTGACAGATCTCAAGGGGAAACCATTAATGGTAACATTGTGACAATTGATCACAATCATCCCCTGTATTTGAGTTCATCTGATGTGCCAGGAGCATTGTCAATTGAGATTCAATTGACAGGGATGGAGAATTATACACTTTGGAGTCGAGCTATGGAAATCGCATTGCTTGGGAGGAATAAATTGGGATTTGTTGATAGATCTATTCTGCGCATCAATTTTGAAGGAGATTTGAGGAAAACTTGGGATTGATGCAGTGCAGTTGTTATCTCTTGGCTCATATGCAATGTGAGCAAGGAATTACTCAGTGGAATACTATATTCAACCAGTGCATATCAGGTATGGCTTGATCTCAAGGAGCGTTTTGATAAAATAAATGGATCTAGGCTTTATTAGTTACACAGGAGCATTTTCACTCTTACACAAGGAGTTTTAACAGTATCTGCCTATTTTACGAAATTGAAAAATTTGTGGGATGAATATGATTCTATTTTACCCCCACCAAGTTGTGATTGTTATAAGGCCAAGGAGTATGTGGAGCAGATGCAATATCAACGATTACTTCAATTTCTAATGGGGCTGAATGATAACTATTCACAAGCTAGGGGTCAGATTCTCATGATGAATATTTTGCCTACTGTAAATCAAGCCTATGCATTAGTGATGCAGGATGAGAGTCAGAAAGGAATTGCAGGTACTATTAATCAAAAGATGGAGTCTTTAGCACTGTACACAGCTAGAAATAATAGGAATCAACAGTTCAATAACATGCCCAGGAAGAACTATCAATCTCTATATTGTGATTTCTGTAACATGAAGGGGCATATTAAGGCTTATTGCAACAAATTGAAGAAATGTGATCATTGTCATGCAACTGGACATGTAAAGGGAAATTGCTATCAGTTAATTGGTTATCCTGAAAATTTTAAAGGAAAAAAAAGGGTGAATACAGTGTTTGCAGGAGGAACTCTATATCCACATCAGTTGACTACTGGAGGTGGTGATTCTACATCATTTTCTATGCAAGAGCAGACAATTAAGATAGGACATATGACTGCACAGGAACATATGTACAATGATCAGGGCACACAAGAACAAGTGTTATTGCAGTTGTTGCATAAGACTTCACCAGAACAAATTCATAATATGATTGATGTCTTGAAGAAGACCACTAGCTCAATGGACTCTCACCACAGTGTTAACATGGCAGGTATTGATAATAGTAATCCTAGTTACTATTTGAAATGGATTATAGACACAGGTGCAATAGATCACATGATAAGCAATTCCAATCATTTACATGTTGGGAAGGTGATGAAACATGCAGGGAATGTCCAATTACCCACAGGAGAGTCAGCCACAGTTACACATATTGGAAGTATTCAACTTAATGAGACTGAAATGATCAATGGTGTTCTGTGTATACCATCTTTAAGTTTAACCTTTTGTCTGTACACAAGCTGACAAAGGAATTAAACTGTTCTGTTTCTTTTTTTCCCACATACTGTGTATTTCAGGATCTCTTGTCTGGGAAGGTCAAGGGGATTGGTGAAGTTGAGGATGGACTATATGTGATGAAATGGAACAAGATTAGAACATTATCTGCAGTTAGGAGAGTAGATGAAGATCCAGTACTTTGGCATCAAAGACTAGGACATGTTCCTATAGGTGTTATTAAAAGAATAAAAGAATTCAGAGCTCTAGATAATTTTGCTATTGATCAGTGTATTATCTGTCCTCAAGCTAGACAAACTAGAGTTCCATTTCCTGTTAGTAATACTAAGGTTGATGATGTATTTGATTTAGTGCATATGGATGTGTGGGGACCATACAAGATTGCTACATACAATGGGATGAGGTATTTTCTTACTCTAGTTGATGATAAGTCTAGATGGACATGGACTTTTCTGATTCATTTGAAATCTGATGTAATTGTTGTTCTGAAACATTTCTTAATACTGATAAAGACTCAGTTTGAAAAATGTGTTAAGGTGTTTAGGACTGATAATGGAGGTGAGTTTGTGAATTCTAATTGTCATGATTTATTTACATTGAATGGTATCATTCATCAGAGATCTTGTCCATATACTCCACAACAAAATGGTGTGGCAGAAAGAAAGCATAGACACTTATTGGAGACAACAAGAGCTATTAAATTCCAAGGTAAATTGCCAGATAGATTTTGGGGTGACTGCATAGAGAGTGCAACATATATCATAAATAGGATACCATTATTAGTTCTGGGGAATAAACCACCATATGAATTGTTATATAATAAACTACCTTCTCTAGCACATATAAGGGTGTAGGTTGTTTAGATTTTGCTACAAATTTGAGAAAAGATGATAAATTTGCAGCAAAGGCAAGGAAGGCTGTGTTACTTGGTTATGTTGTCAGTCAAAAGGGGTACAAATTGTTTGATATTGAATCCAAGACTATTTTTGTTAGCAGGGATGTAACCTTTTGTGAGAAGGAGTTCCCTTTTCAAACCAACAGTATTGATTCTACCACTGCTCAAGATCCATTATTTCATGTCTCACATTCACCTGTAGATGATTGTGAGCTTACACCATGTATTGTGATCAACAATGCTCCCCCTTTATCTAATCATACAGGTCATGATGGTTCACAATCTGATCCCAACAACACAACTACTACTTCAGAAGATGCAGATCCTATATTTGATACTTCTCCTCGAAATCAGCTGCCACAAGTTCCATAAGATATTGTTCTTAGAAGATCAAGTAGACCAGTCAAGCCTCCTCTTTGGCAAACAGATTATGTTCTGTCAAAACAGCCTGCTGGACATTGTTTATACTCTATTACAGATGTAGTTGACTATGACAGTGTTACACCAACTTATATAAGTTTTATCACACAGTTTTCTTTGGAGAAAGAACCTACATCTTATAAAGAAGCCATCCAAGACCCCAGATGGATTCAAGCTATGTAGGATGAGATTCATGCTTTGAAAGATAATCACACATGGGAACTTACAAAATTACCTACAGATAAAAAGGCTATAGGATGCAAATGGGTTTACAAAATTAAATATACAGCTGAAGAAAAGGTTGATAGGTTCAAGGCAAGGTTGGTAGCCAAAGGTTACAACCAAAAGGAGGGTTTGGACTATAAGGAAACATTTTCTCCTGTCGTGAAGATGGGAATTGTTCGAGCTGTCATAGCATTAGCTGCTGCACATCATTGGGATATACACCAAATGGATGTTTTTAATGCTTTTTTTCAAGGTGATTTGAATGAGGAGGTGTATATGGAGTTACCTATGGGTTTTGTCCATACCAGTGAGGAGGGGACTGTATGCAAGCTCACTAAATCACTGTATGGTCTCAAACAAGCTAGCAGACAATGGAACATCAAATTAACCACAGCCTTAGTCAATTCTGATTTTTAACAGAGTCACTATGATTATTCACTGTTCACAAAACATCAAGGAGAAAGTTTGGTGGTGATATTGGTTTATGTTTATGATCTATTGATCACAGGTAATGATCACAACTTGATATTGGAGACCAAGAAAAATCTCAAGGAAAATTTCAAAATCAAGGATCTAGGAAACTTAAGATATTTTTTGGGAATTGAGTTTGCCAGGAATGAAACAGGAATTCTCATGCATCAGAGAAAGTATTCTCTTGAAATGATTTCCGAGATGGGGTTATCTAGTTCTAAACCTGTTAGAACACCTTTTGAGCTAAATCAGAAGTTGACTACTACAGAATTTGATCTGCATTTTCCTCCTACAGATGAGAATTACAGATTGCTAAGTGATCCCAGTGTATATCAAAAGTTAGTGGGAAAGCTACTTTATTTGACGATAACAAGACCTGACATTGCATTTGCAACACAACTTTTGAGTCAATTTATGCATAATCCAAAAACATCTCATATAAATGCAGCAACGAGAGTGGTTAAATATGTTAAACATGCACCAGGATTGGGAATATTCATGTCTGCAGATTTAGGCAACCAGTTAACTGCATTTTGTGATGTAGACTGGACATCATGTCCAAACAATAGGAAATCTGTAACTGGTTATATGATTACATATGGGAACTCTTTGATCTCATGGAAGTCCAAGAAGCACAACACCATCTCAAGAAGTTCAGCTGAGGCTGAGTACAGAAGTCTAGCTTCAACAGTTGCAGAAATTATATGGTTGACTGGGTTGTTTAAAGAGCTGGGAGTACAAGTGAAGTTGCCTGTGCCTATATATAGTGACAGTAAGTCAGCAATACAGATTGCTGCTAATCCAGTTTTTCATGAGCGAACAAAACACATTGACATTGATTGTCATTTCATCAGGGAGAAGGCGCAACAAAGACTCATTCAACCTATATACTTAAACACAACAGAGCAGCCTGCAGATTTATTCACTAAGGGTCTTACTTGTGTACAACATACATATCTACTTACCAAGCTGGGAATGAAGAATATTTTTCATACGCCCAGCTTGAGGGAGGGTGTTAAACAATTAGTAAAATGTACAGCTGTCAGTTAGTGTTATTAGAGTTAGTTAAATTAACAATGATCAGCAGTAATAGTTAGTTAGAAGTTGTTAGTCAATTAGTTAGATATATTTTACTTCTATAAATATAAGAGTAATAGTCATAACAGAAGTGTGAGCTGTATAGAAACTTTCTGGAAGCTTCTACAGTTTAATGTGAAGCATCTTCTTCTTCTTCATTTTTCTTCTTCTATATTGTTACTGTTCATCATTTGATTACTCAATTCTCTTGAACTTTACAAATTAATGTCGTTTATTGAAGATCTTTAAAAAGTTTATCTAGTCTGTATACCATGAAAATTAAATCTTTTTCATTTTATTTGAAAACTTTAAATTGAAATAAAAAATGTGTTTAATTCTATAAAATACAATTCAGATGAGGTTATTTTGTTAAAATAATTTGTATATGGTAAATTTGATAAAGAAAATTTTTTTATAAAAGTGAAAATGAAGTTTCGAATGTTATTCAAATTTCAAATATAACTTCAAATTTCTTCTATGACCTTACACTAATTTTGGGATCATTTTTATGATTAACACTAAATTCCAAATTTCTATGACCTATCATTAATTTTGAAATAAAGTTTTGAAAAAAACTATTCTCAAAAGGTCTATTGTGTGTCTTGACATAAAAAAATCCTTCTCTTTGTTTTTCATGTGACTGCTGGTTGTTGGCCAAACAAAAATCTCCAAAATATTTTTCAACTAGGAATTGTTTCTTTCTGTTCTCTTTTATCTTTTAGTCTGTTAAAGAAAATAATTGTTTTTATTTTTTTATTATACGTTAGTTTTTATTTTCCACGTGAAATTTAAGATCATATGAATAAAAGATATTTCGGTATATAATAAATATTTTTTTTAAAAATCATATGATTGATTAATTTTTTTTTAAATTTCATGATAAATAAAAATCATATAAATAAATTAGAACGGAAGATTTGCATCGTCAATGAAATCGAAAGATAGAAAAGTATGTCTTGATGAATGAGACAAAAAGGTAAGACGATAAGGTTGGTGAGCTATCAAAAATGGAGAAATGAGGAGAAAAAGAAACTATAATTAAGTTTAAGTAACAGTACATTATTTCTTGCACTTAATAGAAACATTGAATTTTATTTATTCAAATTTTAGCTATTAATGCGTATTATTTTTTTAGTTCTGAACTTTAATCATAAAATGTGTTTATTTTTAATTTCATAATTACTTTAATGGAGTTCGAAGCCTAAAGGGCAAAAAAAATTATCAAAAATTCTAAATGGGTATATCAATTTCTTTTTTAACTGAAAGGGTTAAATTGCAACCTCCGTAGCGATTTTGTTTTCAAAATTGTATATTTTTTTTCTTTTTTATAAAAGAATGCACCGATTTTGGTGGATTTTTTTTAAAAAAGGAAAGCTAAAATCGCTGAGATAACAACGTTTTTATAAGAAAAAACTTTTTTTAAATCGCTGTTTAGGTAGCAATTTTAGTGGGAGTTTTTTTTTTTGGAAAATCTCTGTGTTGACAGCGATTCTGTACATTTTTTTGTTCTGTCATTTTTTAAATAAGGCATCTATTAAAGTATTTTTTTAAAATTTTTTGCCAATTATTTTTTTTAAAAAAAATCGTATTAAATATTGATAACTTTTTTCTTCTTCTGATTTTGATCAAAATAAAAATTGCATTACAATTGTTAATAAAGATTTCACTAAATGATTTTATTTTTTTAAAAAAAATCTAAATAATATATATATATATATATATATATATATATATATATATATATATATATATATATATATATATATATACGCGCGCGAAGGAATGGCAGGATTTTTGTGAATTTTTTTTCTTCGGAAAATCACTGAATTTTTTTAACAAAAAAATCGCTGCCAACTTGCAATTTTGGTGGGTTTTTTAAAAAAAAATAAATCACCGCCAATTCTTATTTTTAAATCATAAAATTGTTTTTGAAAAAATTCGCCAACATTTAATGCGATTTTAAGAAATAAAATGACAGCAATATTTTTTAAAAAAATATTAATTGACGAAAATTGCAAAAGAAGAAATTTTAAAAAAAGAAGAAAAAAAGATCCAAGGAATCAATTTTTTTAAAAAAGAAAAAAAGGTGACAGAGCGCTGCCACGGTAGCGATTTCCCAAAAAAAAAATCCCTCTAGGCAGCGATTTAAGAAAATTACTTTTTTTTTATGAAAACGCTACATGGCAGCGATTTAAAAATAAATTATGAAAACGCTGCATGGGCAACGATATTCTTGTAAAAGTGAAAAAAGTTCGGAAACTATTGCTGATAAGTTAGCGATTTTGCCCTTTTAGTTAAAAAAAATTGATGTATCCTTTTAAAATTTTTGACAATTATTTTTGCCCTTTAGGCTTCGGACTCTACTTTAATGTTATAAGTGCAAGCAAAAATCTTGAGTCATCGTAAACCTAAAACACATTTTATTTCAAAGTATTACTACAACAAAAGAACCAGTAAGAGTCGTTTGGTGTGGAATACAATATACAATAATCTGGAAAACATAGGATTATTTCCTACATTTGGTTGGAGGTATTAAATAGTCATGAAACTATTTATCTCACCATTTATACTTTAGTGATGTGATAAGTTATCTCATATATATGTTAGGGGTGCTTTGCTAGTTTTTGCATTACATCTGCTTATTCGATCCTAACAATATATAGTGGGATAACTTGTTTTGAGATATATAGTTAATCGCAGGATAGCGTATTCTCAATTAAACGATCTTTTAGTGATAATAAATTAATATGCACATAAATAAAATTATTTTTTAAAAATATTTATAGACATTAGTTAAATTAATTTAGTTGTTAGTTGAAAGAAGCTCCAAAGTGAAGTCCAAAAAGGCATGGACATGGACTGCTTGGAGGAAAAATAAATGTTGTCTTAGTTATACATATGATAGACTCCACTTATTTGAAAATGAAATCGAACTTCTTTTGGGTTAATGACAAAAAAATTTATTTGATTTTGCACTATCTTTCAAAGATACCCTAGCTGTGTATTTATTCAATTATTGGAGTTTATCAACATCAAATCACTATTTGCCTTTGACGTTACTTATTTACTTTACCGTTACTTGCATCGTACTTTGCGGATTATATATATATGCTATCCGCATTAAAAGTATAATACATGGATAGATATTTTAATTTAGCCTTCGAAGAAAACTTAAGCTTGTAATATGTGGGCCATATATACAATATAATAGGACAATATATTTAAGACGTGCGAGTGTTCACACATTTTAATATGATATCAGAGTAGATTTTTAACGCGTTTGACTCGTAATATGGGAAATCTCAGTAATCATTGAATTGGTTATTTTAATTTTAGTTATCCATTCACTTCGCCACTAATCACTAACTATCATGAAATTTTTGTAGTCATTGATTAATTATTTGGATTTTCATGTTATTGATAAGGTTTATATTTTCATCGTGTAATTTTTTCTTTGTTTCTCCATCCTCGCTTCCATTTTTAAGTGCTAGCAAAAAGTTTGAGACTGAAGCCTAAAGGCATTTTTTAAAACAAACAAATCAAGATGAGTCGTAAAATTTTTCATGTGCTTAATTCGTGAAAAAAAATTAGACCTTTGTATGATGGGACACGTGAAAATTAAATACAACAAAATAATAATTGTTTGCTATCTTTAATAACTTGAGTTTTTGGATAAGATGATGGTTTGTTTAACTCTTCAATAGCCTCAACTAACAACTAAGTAAACACTTCACAATTTTGAGGATGCATATCGAAATACTTTAACCCATCTTTACAGTGTCAATTGAACACGCTCCAATTTACAAAATGATCATTTATACATTTTCAAAATTAAATTTATGTGTCATGTTAACATTGAGTAGCTAAAAATACAGTAAACATGAATTAAGATATCTATATCTACATTATCTTGTTTGATTTGCTAATACCAGTTTCTTTTGTCTTGTTTGATTTTGTTTCTGAACAAGGAGTAAAAATCTTGACGTTTTCAAATAATGAAAGTATTTTCCCTTTTTTATTTAATTCATGAAGCTTGGTATATGCAAAACAGTGTAGAAATGAAGTTTTAAAACATTTTTCAAAATGAAAAACAGATTTTTCAAAATGAAAAACAGACTTTTAAAACATTCTTTCTCAAGCTAAATACGAGTAATAATTGCCATGTTTTTACAAGTCAATAAAAACCAAGAACTTAAACAAAAAAGACAGTGACTACTTGGGAATTACATTGGTAATATAACCAAAAAAAGATATATTCATATGTATCACTCATAATTGCATTGTTTAAGTTATAGATAATTATACTTTCATACTAAATTAATTACTAGCTACTTATAAATTTCCATCATTTTCTTATTTAATTTAACTATATATATATATATATATATATATAGATAATCTCTCTTAGTGTGTCCCAAAAAAATTGTCTTTTCCAACTTGTCCAAGCTTAGTCACACATGACTCACTAGAGTTGCATTTATAATATTTATAATATGATTGGTGTTTAATTGTTTGGTTTGAAAGAGCTGAGCAAATTATAGACTAAACTTTTTGAGACAAACTAAGAGGTATTAGATCAATTTAATTAACTCTAGGGATTATCTGATTTATTGACTTTTTCACTTCCAATATGCTTGCCTTCCTTCCATATATATTTTCTTTTACCTGCAAAACAAATAACAAAAAGGATTTATAATCTATTTAGTCAAGCTTCTAATATCAGTTGTTCGTAATTAAAAAAAAATTGAAAGCGATAAAGAAAAAACTCTTTTTGCTAGGTAAATAAAATCAATTGTATATATAATATTAGTAAATATTGTAATTAATAACCCCCTCTTCGTCCCTAGATACTATCAACAACTTAATGCTCAGTCACTCTTTTGTATTGATACGTATTAAGATATGATATATCACTTCGTTTTGTACAAAAATACAAAGTTGTTGTTTAAATTCCAATTCTAAATCCGCTTCTATTTTTACTATTTTTTTTATTATTTTCAAAATTATAAATGTGTTATAAGTTATTTTTTGTTCATACCTTAGCTCTTAACTCAGCCAATAAGAGTCCAGTACTAAGAGATGATTGGATTGCTACAACTTCCACCTTTAGTTCCCTTAGAACTTGCATTACATCTAACAACAACCCTTCTTTGTACGGACACCGGAGCTCCACCAGTGCATCGTTTTCGATGATCGAGACTTCCACTTGCAAAACCTCCTCTTCCATCGGTGGAGAACCCGTCATCTTTGCCGGTGCTCCGACTATACTTCCCTCCACCGTACTCTTCATTCTCCTCTTACCCTTCACCGGAAACGCCTTTACTATTGGTGAACCACTCTTTTCATCTATTTATCACGTAAAAAATTCTGTATCAGTTATGCAGATATTAGTTATTCCATGTTCTATGGTATAAATTAATTCTAAACATTATCTCTAATAACTTGTACATGTTGATTATGTTGAAAATAAAACTAATATGACCTTCATCATGCATATTGTATTAAAAATGTCATGTTTCATATGAATAAAAAAATGATCAACCAAACAATGTGTAACTTATGCTGGATTTTATGTAGTTACTTTTCCTCATTTTTGTAATAAAAACAAGCATAATTTTCATACGTAAATAATTTATCTCTAATCAGGAATCAAACGATCCCCTTATAAGTATATTTTATGAATATAGTAATTGATAACTTGATAAAATGGAAGTAACCTATTAGTCTATTACTATTCAGAATTTTGTCATTGAATAAATATGTTTTTGTGAAATATTATTCAGGACACTATTATTTTGTTAACTAAGAAATGATAATGCTAAACTATATATCCTAGTGACAAAATTAGCTCATAAAATCATAATAATAACTCAGTCATTTATTAATTTAATCTATTTGATCTATTTAAACTCAGCTCAATCCGTCCAATTATCAACATGTAGTAAAATATAAATACCTGATTTTTTGGTAATTTCCGTGTGGCGATCACGCGCTTCGAGATCCTGAACTTTCTTACGTAACTGCTTCACATACTCTATTGTATCGCCAAGTATCGATGCTTTATCCATTTTCGTAACGAAGGGTACCAAGGACCTTAAAATAATAAAACGCTCATTCAGCTTCTCTCTACGACGTCGTTCCGCTAGTACATGGTTCCCGCTCGTCTCTTCTTGTTGTGTACAACTATTTATCGTACATCCTTTGCGGAATCGAGACGCTGCGGCCGAAGAGTCGGCCGCAGCAGCGTCTCGTGACTTTGGAGACAGAGCTTCTGATAATTTTTTAGTACTGTGGAGAAATGGGACAGTGAATAGTATGCTTTTGAGCAGCCATTGAGAGGTGGTCCCACTGCCATCGCCGATATCGTGGCGACGACAGTGGGAGAGATTTGGGCTACAAGTGACGGGCCATAATGTGAAAGCGGATTGGGCTGAATCAGGAGAAATAGAGCCCATTATGGTAGCAGAAGAGGCAAACTTGGAACTTGTGTTCGAGAGGTGTTCAAGTACAGCTGAAACTGTTTGAGAATAATGTGTATCTTCTTGTGATAATTCATCATAACTAGGTATACCTGCATTTGATTAAAAAAGATAATTGAACTTTTAATATTAAATTATCATAGTATAATTTACTAAGATGTTACATTTATATACTGATATTTGACGTTTAAATCTTATTTATTATACCTAGAAGAAAGAATATATTTGCTTTTTAAGATGAGATGATTATATAATTGCAATATATACCATCGTCTTTTTAATTAGCTATGTATTACACATTTCATGTGAATTTACCTTTTAACAACATAGAAATACATTATGAGATTATTGAAGAGGGTTGATTTTCCTTCTTTTATTATAATAGTGTGTAATATACAAAAATGATTCTAAATTTTATGATAGTTAAGCATAAGAAGTGTTAGATTAATAAGCGATCCAACTTAAGTAAAATGAAATATTATTTTAAAACAAATTAAATATTGAAATTAGAACGGATAGAATAATAGCTTAAGCTAATACCTGGTAAATGTTGAAGGTCTTGGAAGTTAGCCCAACTAATTGCAGTCTCAGCTTTGAAAGAGTCAGCCGTATTTCCAGCTTGGCTAATACCATCCAAATATAAATCAGTGTCCATATTATTAGAGCCATCATCCGGTGAGCCGAGCCGTATAGCTTCAGACATATCAAGCTGCATGAGCTCACTAGCCTCAGCCGCCATAGGATTAGCCGCTCCAGCCCCACTTTGAATTGCTATACCATCCGAGTCTAATTCAGCTTCATCATTTTCATCCTCGTCATCCTCAGCCTCGTCCTCGTCCTCGTCCTCATTTTCTTCTTCTCCAGTAATTCTACCGTCTTGATCCGCTGGACAAATACCCGCAGATGACGGAGTATTGCTGAAGTAAAAATGTGGCTCCGAAAAGGCGGCGGGATCCGAAGTGGAGTGCTCAGATAAAGCTGGCTTTGGTGGCTGAGCTTGTTGTGGCTCATTGAAGAAACTTTTTACGCGATGTATAAATCCAATATCTTCTTGAACCTGTGTGTGTATCATGTACGATAAATTCATCAATCGATTAAATTATATATACTGATAATATAAATATTATTTAAATTAGTAAAATCAAATTACTACAAAGTGTATCAATATAATGTATATATATTTGACAACTTATTTTAAGTTTTTACCTTTTCTATAGTTCCGAGTTCCACAACACCGTCCAAGAGAGGAATACAAACTACAGTCTGCAACATTTTGAACTTCATCAAATTTTATTTTTTTTACTTTCGTAAATTTCATATCAAATTAAAATTAATTAATCAAATTAATTGAATCACGCAAAATGAAATATTTATCCCAATAATTAAAATTTAATAAGTCAAAGGGTCTGCAGTTTATTACCTGTATGCGGGCACTCTATATAATAGGCATGTCAGTGTTCCATGAATTAAAAAACAAAAAAAAAAAAGAGTCAGATAATTAAATTGCTTTAAAAAATAATAACAATAAATTATTATTTTATCCGTTCAATAAGTTAGTTTAATTCGACAGATCTAAAATAATTTATATATATTTATGTGACTAAAAATAATTTCATATTAAAAGGAAATATTATAAAATTATTACTAAATATAAAATTTATTATTCTTTTTAAAAAAACATATAAATTAAAACCGAAAAGTAACTATTTATTTTTGGGCACAATTTTATAGTAATTTCAATCACGTGTAATGAAATTTTAACGAGCAGACTATACATGACCATATATAGGTCAATGAAATCTTATATGTCTATCTCTGTTTGATTCTGTGTGACATTATCTTTTTAATTGTACGTGGTAAAAGAGTGAGATATTTATATACTATTTAGAAACATTTAATTCATTATGACATAACTATATATATTTATATCACATTTTTATTATGAATTTCAAAAGTTTTACATAATTGCACAAAAACTATAATTCTGATTTTTATTTTAGTTTTATATATAATATTGAGTTATGTTATATCATAAAAATTTTAAATACAAGGAGTTTAAAAAAATATTCTTACACGCGATTTATAGATAACAAGAGTCACGTGGAATGATTTAGAAAATAAATTTACTATATCCTATATTTTCTTCACTCAAGAGTAGATCAACAATATATTCAGTTACGAGTGAAATATGATGAGGATGACGTATATAAAAGAACTTTACTTTTATTTCGTGAAGGTAAAAAATAAAAATTAAAAGATGGTAGTGATTAATACTTACCTTAGCAAGAATAGCTCTACAGAAGACTTTGCTATCAACATCATTTGCTCCCATTATCCATATGTGATGTTTCTTTGAATAAGCCTTGCCTGGTAATCTTTTTTTTTTTTTATGAAAAAAAAATATCAGAGGTAATGTCATATGATACTATATCTTTATTAATTTATTTTTTAATAACATTATTTAAATATATAAAATGATTTAACAAACTTATTCTCATTTTAATTCTTGTTAGAGGAGGATGAAGTAGTCAATTATCTTGTTACTTAAGGTTGTCAATATGTTATTATTGTGTTGGTGAAAATAAAAGAGGGATTGCTCACTGCTCACCTGGTCATTCAATTAATACTTACTGTCAATTATATTTATTTTTTTTATTTTAATTTTCTTCAATAAAGAAAGTGATTTTCTAAAATGATAATCTGATTATTCAATTAATACTTATTATCTTAAGTCTATCATATTTTTTTTTCTTTTAATTTTCTTCAAATAAAAAAAGTGATTTTATGAAATAATAACTATTTATCGAGTAATCATAATAAATAATTAATCTAGAAATCTTCAATTAAACTGAAATAATAATTACTATATTAATTAAGTAACCATACGTTAAAAAATTGAACATTTCCTTTTAGATTTCAATAAGTAACAATTTTTTAATATGTCCCCACTATTCCTATAGTAATAAGCAACCCATTAATTGTAGAGCAATATTTATTAGACCCTCAACAAGGAAGAAGAGTAAGCATTGAAGTTACCACATTAATTAATTAACTTATTTTATCAGTAACATTTAATCTATAGCTAACGTTGACTTGTAAGAGTTAAATTTTCTATGAATATATGGTCTCTCATTAATCAAAGACTTAGGGAGGTCACAATTGAAGTTGCTTCTTTTGTGTATATATTCTTGCTTTTATTTCGATGTAACAACCCTCATTCACTCTCCAATTACTACTCCATTCATATTTACTCGTTCATATTTAACTCAACAGATTTTTAAAGGTGTTTCTTTTTATTTTTACGATTTTACCTTTTTATTGTTCATTTTTCCTATAATTATTGTCCAACTTTACTTGTTCAATTTTAAAATCAAGAGATAAGTTATATTTTATATCTATTTTATCCTTAATTATTAATATTTTCCAGCATTCATATTACTTATAATTAATTTAGGTGATATAGTAAATTAAAGTTACTCTTTTATTTATTATTTCTTAAGAAATGTGTCAAATTAAATATGGAGAACTAAAAAGATGGGCCAATGGAGTAATATACTCTCTCCATTACCTTTACTTGTAATGTTTCCACTGGACACACCCGTTTAGAAAATAGTAATGGACATGAGTATTATACCATACTATCCCCATAAATTGATGTTTAGTATTAGTTCTTGAAAAATGATTTTGAGAGTAATTAACCAATGATAAGAGTAAAAAACATGAATAAAGTAAATTACGTTTTCTTAATATGTTAAAAGTGACAGACACAAATAGTGAAAAAATAAAAATGAACAAGAAGAGTATAAAATGATAATTTTTCTACATCATCCTTATTATTATGTGTTAAGAAATGAATTGAAAATAATTGTAGTACTTAACTAAGAGTAAATTAGGTATAAAAAGGTAAATTATTTCTTTCTTTTTGTAAAAAATATTTAAAAAGTAAAACATAATTATATGTTTTTAATACAACGAACAAATAAAAATGAGCGAAGAAAATACTTTGTATGGTCATGAATATTGATCATATTGTTCACTTGACTGAAAATTCTTACTAGTAAGTTATTTGTGGTAATTTTGATATGACAATATTAAAAATACAGTAAAAGTCTTATTATTTTCTCTGTTTCATTTTGTTGAAATATTATTAAATTCACTTATATTTAGTTCGAAAGAGAGTAACATTTTTATATTCACGAATACTATGACATGTCTAATCTTATAATTTTCAAAATTTTATAAGCATACAAAATATCATGGCATTTAAATATAAAAAATTTCAAAAAAATATCTCTATTTTTTAAAAAACTAAAACTTCTTATCTGATAAAATTAATGTTAATATATAAATATTAAATTCTGATAAATGACGACTTACCCAATAGGTGGAGGAAAAGAGAAAGAAACACACATGAGATAAAACCACTCAGATTCCGTCAAATCCTCCGGCGACAATGCTGCGGACGGCCTTCTCGCCGGGGGATTTGAGTCACCGGCAGAAAGTGAATCATAAAGTTCTCTAAGTTGTTGGCTTCTATGAAGAGAAGCTTCTTCAGCAGTAACTTCCATTGGCTGCACAGTTTTTCTAGTCTTTATAGCTCCATTATAATATCCATCTCTCCACACTAACACCCTATCAAACAATAATATAGTATTATTAAAAATGTCAATAATGAAAAATTCAATCATGAGTTTACGAGTTTATACATAAAAAATAAGTATACTTTTAAGAATCATGAGTAAGTTATTCTAACTTTAAAATACTCATTACATTAAAATTCTAAATCTTTCATAAAATACATGATTCTTGATATTAAACAAAAGGAAAGAACCTTGATAGATTCAAGAGTTCATAAAATTTAGAGAAATACAAATATCTATAATATAAAATTTTTGAAAAATGATTGATTTCCAAAAAAATAAGTAAAAACAGAATGAAAGACAGTCCAATATTAATAAGGACGAGCTTTCTCATGAAGGAAGTTTCGCGCTCTACTGCTTGTATATCGATCGGGAAAAAGTAGTAAAGACATGGTTTCAACAAAAAAACAAGGTGAATAAGCGATAATGATTGAAGTGCATCCTTTTGTTCTCAGTTCGTAAAAATTACTTCTATCACTAACCAGTTCAGCTCGACTTTGGCTTTTATGTTATCTAGGTTAACTTAGAACTCATAATGCCCAAAGTTTATATCCTTTCATTATTTTATTTGATATAAAACAATTGTTGATAAAGACACACTTATCAAGGAATCAATCATATTTTCCAAAATATATATTACTTTATCAAAATCAAAACTCAAAATATTAAAATTCTGAATTTTATTCATTATTTAAAATAGGAAAATTATCGACATGAAAAAAGATCATATATTTTAAAAATCGACTTTTTCAAATTCAGAACTCAAAACATCTAAATCAATATGATAAAAAATAAAGACATACATACCCTTGTTTTGGACAAAATTGCCAAAAAATACTATAAGTCCATTTAACCGACTGGACGGAATTTTGCAACATGTTTTGTAACTGCAGGCTATTAGGCTGTATAATCTCCATCATTAATCTACTAGATTTAATTATTTGATTTTAAACCTTACACTAAAAAACTAATCAACAAAATTAGCAGAGAAAAATAAATGTATTTTTTTTTTTTGGAATTTTTTAAAGAAGACTGAAGAGATCTTTTAATTTTCTTGAGAGAGATATTGATGAAAAGAATATAGAAGGTGGTTGATTTTTTTTTGACTGGTTGGTGACTACCAGATGGTTATGGACTTAGTCTTTTTATTTTTTTTGTCATGGGTATTGATATCTTCATTTAATAGATTTTGTAACTATTATAACCCATGTTTTCTAACAAATCACTTATTTTTTTATATTAGAGATATGGTCCATTATTTAGGAATTATATTATTATTAGAATGATATTTAACCACGCATACTATTGACCCTATGTTTGCTTACTATCTATGGCTATATGTCAACATCTATGTTTAATTATAAATTTTATCATTGTTAGGAAATTAAGTAGATGAGAGGACTAAGCTTCCCTAAATGATTTAAGTAGGGGTGTCACTATCGAAGAATGGTAGATCGGAGTCAGAGATTTTAATAAGATATTTCAATTTATATAACAATAAGCTAGATTAAACCCTTGTTTCAAGTTAAAGGGATTCGATCCATATATTAGAACTTTTTCTTATGAGTTCACTTCTTCTTTTTCAAATGTATTCAAAATAGTGAACAAAAAATGTACCAAAACAACACCAAGAAGAACATACCATGAATATGAAGAACCTAACCACTATGTTGCACAAACCTTTGTGTCTCGAAGTGTCACTTGTTCAAATATATATCTGCAATGTTTTTGATGTGAAGCAGTGTCACGTGATACTCCTCGTACCTTAATAAATATGTCCTTCACAACTAATATTTGTACCACACTTGACCTTGAGCCAATCCAATTAGGCATTACACTCAGTAAATACAAATAGATATATCTTGGCTTAACAAAAACCCATATCGAAAAGGTCACTGAAGAAACCTATCCCCTAGAACAAGAACCAGGTTCTTGTAAGTTGCTTTTAAGTAAAGACACAAACACTTATTAAATTAAAAACCTTCCTCACTCAAGGAAGAAAAAACCTCGTTATATTAATTCAACTATAAGATTTTGTGATTACAACTCAATAATCAAAAAGCCTTACCACTACTAACTCTCTCGATTGACTACAATCGATTACTTCTACTCTCCAAAAGGTCAAACTCACCTTTTGTTACAACCCTCACTGAAACTCAACCCTACAAGAAGCCAAACCCACTCCTTGTACAATAACTCGTAACTTACAATCAAGAACGAAACAAGAAGATAGTTTTACACGTTTAAAACTTTCTCACACAAGAACTTTTTAAACTTAGCAAACCTATCGATCTTGAAGACTTCTACTCGATGAATACTTCTCACTTTTCTCTCTATGTGAAGTCGTGATCTTCTTCATCTGCGATTGTCCTCTTCTTATAGGGTTTTCTTTTGCCTTGAATCCTAATCAGATAAGGTAAGGATATTATAGTTAAACAAGGATTACCTTTTATAGTACAATCCTTATTACATATAACTTCCTTCCTTAGTAATATATTTAAGGTTTCCTTATTTTGTATCAACTTATACCTTTAATATATTATTTTTGGCTTTGACAAATAACTCTATTTCTTGACTACGTGGCTGCATCATTTTGTTACTTTATTTTGTATCGCATTGGCTGCTGCTTTGCTGCATTAATTATTTTGCATTTCTTGTCTATCATCAAAACATTGATTTCGATTAACTCTATTTCTTGAAGTATAATTATCGGTTCTATCATATTTCCCCTTTTTGATGAAGACAAATCTATCTGTGTGATGCAAACCTCTTCCCCCTTTTGACAAATCAAAAAGAGTCCAATAGCAGCTAAAAAAAACCAAATAACATCCATAGCAACAATTGAAGCTTAGCCAGTTGAGCACAATAAAATGTTCTGGCAACAAAAAGAAGAGTAATAACACAGAGTTAAACAACCAAAATAACCAGGTTCAAACAAGATGCTTTTCAAGTTGAAGTTTGACTAGGCTTGGTTGAAGCAGAAGCAAGCATATCCAGAACTCTGTCAACCCTTGCATTGTTAGCAAGTTGCTGCTGCACCAACTGATCTTTCAACCTGTGAATTTCAGCATTTGAAGTATGAAGTTCAGCACGTAAATTCTGGTTTTCTAACTCAAGAGTGGCATATTTTTCTTCAGCCACTTTGAGTTCCCTGAGTAACTAAGCAACAGGACCATATGTACGTGGAGAAACATTTGCAACCTGCTCCGATTCCATGGGAATGCCACAATCAGCAAAAATGGTTTGAGTGAACATATCTTCACGAGTCAAAATCCTACCTTCTCCCAATGGTACTTCAAATGCATCAAACACTCTAGTTAACAAATTTCCAAAAGCTAATTGATGAGAACCTAGTTTAGGATCAACAATTCTAGCAAGATGTTTGATAATCAGTGTGGGCCAGTCAATGTGTTCTTTGCACTCAAGAGCATTCATAAGTCCCATGTCTCTTCTGGAGGCAATGTGACGTTGGTGACCTCTAGGCAGTATCACCTTATGTACTATCTCAAAGAGAAGCTTATGCAATGATCTCATAATACCCTTTAAAACAGTTTGTGCCCTAGAATTGACTCTACCTTGAGAGAATTTTGCTGGCAAGCTAGAATGATCATCAAAACCCCAATGATACTCATTAATACCCACAGATGGTATATGCAAGATTTCCCCAAGTTTAGTTGCATCAAAAACAATGTCAACTCCCTTCACATTAGACGATACTACACCTCCTTCCAAGATTACCAAATTTGTATAGAAATCTACCACTTCTTGTTCATAAATCAGATTAGGTTCAAGAAATAACTCCTCCCACCCCTGAAACCTTAGTAGTTCCCAAACCTGCTTGACTATATCCATTGATAGTATATCAGGGTGAAAAGTTCTACCCCTAAGCACTGTTTTGGTTTGAAAATACTTTTTCTTTCCCACTTTGAGAAATTTATCCACATTTCTTTTTGCAAATTTTGATTTTGACTGAGGAGTTTCAGAATGTTTACCCTCAGAGACATCATCAGTTTCAGAATCAAGATTCATTGGAGAAATAGATGAGTGAACAGGAGACTTACCCAGAGACGACACTTCACACTAGATGTTGCATCATCAGTTGGTTTGACCACATTCGCACTCCGAGTCACTGGCCTGTGTGGACGAACCTGTTTAACTGCAATGTGCTTTCTTGTCCGTCTTGGTTTTTTAGGGTGAAGTGTGCTCAGAAGAATGTCATCATTGATTGGAGAATGTGGAGATGGTGGTGGATTTTGAGGAGTGGTTTTGTGAGATAGGGAAGTAGAGGGATTTTTTGGGACAGTGGTTATGAGAGTTTCTGGATTTGGTGGTAATGGGGTTTCTTGGACAGGTGGTGGTGGTGATTCTATGACAGGTGGTGGTGGAGATTTTGCAACTGGAGGTGGAGATGTTTCTTTCACTGGTGATGGTGGAGATGTAGACGGATCTGATTTGGGTAAGGATATAGATGGTTTGGTTGGGAGTTGGCTTTATTCCCCTTGATTAAGCACAATATCAACGACGGGGTTCTCTTCCCCCTGAGAAGATGCACTGTCATATGAATTTTCGTCATCTGAGTAAGCAACGAGTGGATTAACCATGGTGATGGAGAGGATTTTTTTTATTTTTCTGAAGAATGAAGATGAGAAAGAGTTGGTGCTTGTTTAGAGAGAGTGCTTTATTAGGAACGATTTTGATGTTGTATTCGAGGGGTTTGAGTAATTATGGGGGATTGACATCGAGGAGATGTGTGCTTTGACGGTTGCACCTGCTTTTCAGAGACGTGACATAAGAGAGAGAAGATGATATTGTTTCCCCCCCTCCCCCTTTTTTTTGACAGCTAAGTGTAAAGTAGTTGTAGAACCAACTTTACTGAACCTGGTTCATATCTCCTTAGAACTTGGTTGGACAGAATTCAATCTAAAAAGATGAGCCCTAACTCAAGTCTTTTTTTCTGAAATGATTCTCTTCCTAGTGCCTTGGTGAAAATATCAGCAACTTGATCCTCAGTTTTGCAGAACTTCATTACTATGTTTCCTTTTTCAACATTATCATGAAGAAAGTGATGTCTAACATCTATGTGTTTGGTGCGTTTGTATTGAACTGGGTTTTTGGCCATGTTCATAGCACTTGTATTATCACATAGAATAGGAATACAACCTTTTTCTATGCCAAAATCTTTAAGCTGTTGTTTTATCCAAAGATGTTGGGCACAACATGAAGCAGCTGCAACATACTCAGCCTTCACAGTAGATAAAGCCACTGAATTTTGTTTTCTAGTTGCCCAAGATATTAAACATGGTCCTAAAATGTGTGCCATCCCAGAGGTACTTTTTCTATCAACCATATGTCCTGCATAATCTGCATAAGCAAATCCTTTTAAATCAAAAGAGTTCCCAGTTGGATACCAGAGAACCAGGTTCATTGTGCCTTTTAAATATCTCAGGATTCTTTTGACAGCTTTTAGATGTGATTCCTTGGGACAGGACTGAAACCGTGCACATAGACCAACACTGAACACTATATCAGGTCTACTGGCAGTAAGGTATAGGAGTGATCCAATCATACCTCTATATTTAGTGTCATTTACTGGTAAACATGGTTCATCTTTATCAAGCTTTGTTGTTGTCCCAATAGGTGTGTCATTTGACTTAGCTTCATTCATATCATACTTCTTCAGTAATTCCTTGATGTACTTTTGTTGATGAATTGATGTTCCAACTGGGGTTTGCTTAATTTGGAGTCCCAAAAAGAATTTTAACTCTCCCATCATACTCATCTCAAACTCACTATTCATTAGTTGAGCAAATTCTACCCCCAGTGCGTCATTGGTTCCTCCAAATATGATATCATCTACATATACTTGGACTATGAACAAATCTTCACCTTGTTTTCGATGAAACAGTGTATTATCAATTTTTCCTCTCGTGTATCCATGTGTGAGAAGAAAAGTGGACAATCGATCATACCATGCTCTAGGTGCTTGTTTTATCCCATAGAGTGCTTTGTCCAGTTTATATACATGATCAGGATACATGGTATTCTCAAAACTTGGGGGTTGTTTCACATACACCTCTTCTTGCATATAACCGTTTAAGAAAGCACTTTTGA